TGCATGCCCAGCACATCCGAGGTCTTACATTCCTTGATCTTTTCGTCGGAGATGCGCCACCAGCGATCATTCGGTTTGCGACGGCGCCGAAGTCGCGAGCTGACCCCAGTGGGGTTATCCTGGGAAGAGCGGGGTATGCTGTGAGAGGGACGCGGGGCGGACGGACTCCAGTGACCCTGATCTGTCGTTGGACTGTTACTGTCCGAGGTCGGGGACAACGTCTGTTTGGAGGAACGGGAGTTGCTCTGGAAAGAACGTCGTGAGCCAGAGGTTGTAGGCCGTGGTTGAGGAGGGGTGAGTTGAGTCGCGGATCCTCCAGATAGCGACGTCGACGAGCCTGCTCCTGAAACGCTTCCGTCGCCGTCGGCATCGGGGCTACCCCGTGGTACTATCCGAGGACTGGCCGTCGCGGAGGGGTTCTGACTGGCAGTGCGACTCTGTGCATAGGAGCTAAAGACCTCAGGTGTTGAAAAAGGCGGGTAGATATGATTCCGTCGGAAGGACTCGTAGTGCCCGCTATGGTGGCTGCCTTTGTGGCAGACAATCGCAAGCAGTTTGTACCATTTCTGGCTCAATATGCCTCCTAAGGGGAGCCGCTCCGGGAACGAGACCTTGGCCGCGTTCTTGCTTGAGCTGCTCTGATCAAAAATCGATCGCGACAAGTGGATGGCAATAACTTTTGGGAACGCTGTGATGCGCATATGCCGCGCGATCCTGCGCTTAGGGGCGGTCTCTGAGGGAGGGAATACGATACCCTCCAACTCAGCCTCAGGGTCCATCTCCAGAGCCTCCCGGAGGCGCGAAATCTCCTGGACCAACCGATCTCGATCACCCTGTGTTCGGGCGCGGGCTAGCTCGGTGGTCTTGGCATCCACCGCATGCTGCAGGCGGCATCGGTCGCAGCGGAAATCCTCAATACATTCAGTCTTGAGAAGGCCGTCGAAGCATGAGTTTAGCGTAGTCGAGCTCTTTTGTGGCACTTGTAATGTCAGGTTGACGAAAGCCGTCTGGTTTGGCTTGTACTGGTAATGGCAGAACTGGCACTCGATCTGCGACTCCATTTTGCCTTCGAACGGGAACCCAGACTCCTGGTCAATTTTCCTGAGTTTCGTGTCGATGATGGCAGGCAGTCCATTGGCTGATCCATCATCGATGCGCACCTCCACCTCGGACGAGCTTTCCTGTGGGCTGCCCTCTTCGCCTGCCGTGCTGGAAGCAGCTGCACCAATGGCACCCAGTGCTCGTTGACGTGCGCGTGCACCAGCATGGTACTCATCACAGAGTCGCTCAAGAACGATCTGCAAGAATTCTTGCGCGTCCTGCTGATTGCGGCTGATGCGCGTGCGGAACGCGTATTCCAGAGCCTGGATGAAATCACGGGCCGAGATTGTTTTCTTATAGATCGGCCGCTCGTTCAATCGGTCCAGCATCTCCTTCAATGCTCGTGTGGTTATTCCCTGTTGCAACTCCCGCAACTTGTCCGACCGCGCCCGCGTCCGCGAAACCTCATCCTCGCTGGGCAGTGTATGGTATATTTCCGGTCCGTCCAGTTGGCGCCGGTGCAACTCGTGGATCAGGTAGACCCGCAGGTCCCCCAGCCCGGCTAATGCCTGCAGCACCGAATTGATAAAGCAGTCATTGGCCAGATTAGACAGGCCCACGATGCTCTTCTTGCGATTGCTGTCGTTTGACTCATCTCCGTCAATTGTGTAATTCGGCCCGAAGACGTAGAACAGAGCAACGGCAGCGAGCGATGCCCCGGCCGCATAGGCGGCGACTGTTGTCGGCTTTTCTTGCATCAAGCAATGCGGTATAGAGGGAAAGAGGTTCGGCGGTTCGTGTAGGTGTCGAAGCAGGCAGACGTCTCATTACCCCATCCTCGAATTAGCCCGGATGTAGTTAGATAAGAGCGCTGAATGTCCTAAGAGACCTGATCACAAGAGAATTCCAATGTGGGTCAGGGTCTTCCGAGGTTGAAAGGCTGACAGATCAATTTTGAGGGCAGAATCGAATAAGTTCGGGGAAGAGGGGAGAAAGGGTGAGAGTGGAGCGTTATGCGGAGAAAGAACCACGCCCGGAGTCCAATATCAGGTTAGCCACAGTCAAACGGGGCAAACTCCGCGATCGTCACGATTCAACGATGAAGGACATGAGGACATTCCTCTCTTCGTTTTCGCGCGAGGCTCTCATTTCATCCAATGAGGCAATTCTGTGGGTTAGAACTTAGACCCCACGGACGGATTCTCCGGATATCCGTCTTACACACATCCCCGCACATAATGAGGATGACCGCGGTTCCATGTAGTCTGGGGTAAAGCCATGTCTTGCCTGGAGGACAAGGAATGACAGGGATTTCAGAATGCCTCTCTAACTATCGGAAATACGGGGCTTATGCCTCTTAGAAGAAATATAAACTTTTAGACAAGTCATCTCCGCCACGAAGCGATTCGGTTGAGAACGCAGGAGATGATTGGCCCGGAAAACAATAAGATAAGTATTTAAAATAGCCATTTTTAAGTTGACTCCATAGCTTGTCACATTGATAGAGCTACTGCAGAGCTACTGCCTTATAGGACGGAACAATGAACGATGGATAATATCTTCAGCATCTGTCATGTGTGAACTTACAACTTTTGTAGCATTCCTTATCTGTAAGTATTTATATCCGATGCACCCAATCATGTAAATTTATTCGACACCTACCAGCGCAACAAGTTTAGACCTGAAGCGACTTGGGCAGGGTAGCAACCTTCTCATGGAAGAGCTGCTCAGCCTGCTTCCAGACCCGAGCGTTGGCGCGGTCATTGAGCGTAAGAAGGCTAGGCAGGAGAGCCTCGCTGAACATCTCAGAGCTCTCACGCGGAAGCAGAGACGGGAGGTGATCAATGCTGATAACGCTGAGAGGGAGACCTCCAGCCTCCAGACCGGAGACGGGAACTGTCGGCTTATCGAAAGTGGTCGTAATGTTGTACAAAGGAATGGGGTTCAAAGGGTTGGAGCTTCTGAGGATTAGCTGTGCGCTCGCTTGCATAGTTTCGGATTTGATAACTTACGTGTCGGCGCTGACGTCGCAGATAACAGACAGGGTTCGGTTGGGGGCAGAGAGAGACTCCAAGTCCACGAAGGCTAATGGGAAAAAAGGATATTAGCCAATTGAGTCGGGAAGAGTGGATGTATGTAAAATATTACCTGGAATCTTGGCCGAGAGGTAGATGCAGTTCACGAAGATATCCGCTTCATGTGAGATTTCCTTGAAAGGACCACCTGTGGACATTAATTTGTGAGCTTAGACCAGATTTCAAGATGTTGAATAGTCATTGACTCACCTCGCGCAGTCTCTGCCATGTCCCACTCAATGATGTTGGAGTCGGGGATACCGACATCCTTGGCCAGCTGCACGGCACCGCTGCCACAACGTCCGAGCTACAGCATTGTTAATATGTGTATCGCTTTCTGTGCATCTGTGCAAGACTCACAGCTCCGATGACAAGGATCTTAGGTGCTTTGCCAGCGACCTTCTTGCCGGCCTCGAGCGCCTCCTTAACAGACTCGACCAGAAGGTCTTGGTTGGCATAGTGAACCTCGCCAGGCAAGGCCTCGTTGGGGTGTGTCAATTGCCAAGCCCAGTTCTTCACAGCCAAAGCAGATCCTGTTCCACGCTTAGTATTGATTGTATCAGGAAACGGAGTTCAAGTATAGGTACCTGCGTAACCTGCAGACCACCCGAAGGCTATTAAACAAGAGTTAGTCAATTGAGTCAAGACAAGAACACTTTGGGACAAGAGTCTTACCAGCAACTCGGCGTCCGGAATCATCAGTCAAGAATTCCAGGTCAAGCAATGTGCCCTTGCCGCGAGACCAACGGCTAAGGACATTCTCCCAGCCACCCTGCTGCTTGAAGCAATGTGCGAAAGTGACGTGGACGTGCTCCAGAGGGAAATCATCCTCCGGCAGCTCCTTGAGACCCAGAATGATGGCATCCTTAGGCGCATCCTGAACCCAGGATCCTTCCTCAACCAAAGGCGCGCCGACCTATAACAATTGATGATATTTAGGGCGAGTTCGAGCTATTACTGAGTGAATCATACCTTGGAGAACTCCTCATCTATAGAGCGGAATCAGTCATTGAGTCCAATAGCAAGGGATGGTGGGAGTATGGGGGACATGGGAAATTGGACGTACCGTCAAAGATGCGCTGAGTTGACCGCTCGACAGTCACATCATATCCAGCATCAATCAATGCCTTGCAGGTGGTTGGGGTCACTGGATGGTATATTAGCCAATTGCCTCCCCGCCATTGTAGGTGGGCTGAGACTACTCACAGGCAGACCGGGCCTCAGCAGGCTTGGTCTCAGCACGCAGCCAAATCTTTTGTCCAGCCATTTTGAAAGTAGAGAATTGAATATGATGAAAGGGAAAAAGTAATCAAATAAATATCAATGCTCTATCACCAATAATGACACAGACTTTCCCCTCCAGTAATAAGCGGGGATAGAAAGGGTTAGTTATTCCGATCCGAGAAATGACTCAGTCCCGATTATCGGCCACCAACTCAAACCTCCGAAAGAGACCCCCGGGAGGGTTTAGGGATTCAACGTTATTTAGGGAAACGTTCGAAATTATTTGAAAATATAACTTGTACTCCAGGAAGAATTTTGACATTGGGACAAACATTGGGACAAATTAGAGAGTAAAAGTGATAGGGCGGAAGTTGTAAGGCAGCGCATATGTCTACAACCATACTACGGAGTGAAACAGTTGCTTGTCTTAAAACGTCATACATGATCAAGAAGATATTGCGTAGAACTTCTGTGGTTTTTGAATTTGAAAACTTCCCCGCCCAAATTTCGGTCAGGAAAGAATATTCATCTTATTGCAGCACGTGTACAGTGACACCAATGAGGAAGTGCCGAACATGAATAGTCATGATTCAAAGTCGGAACAAATATGATGACATGGATGTCACTCGCGAATCTGTAAATATAGTGACCTCGGTTTATTCAAGCACCCTTGGTCCGGCTGCGAGTCCGGCTACCAACGCCATCTCCTGGGACAATCTTGTTCACAGCATCCTTGATCTTCTCCTTCTTGGACCGACCAGCCTTCTTCTGTTCTTTGTTGTCTGGATTGGAAGCAGCAGCGGCGGTACCATTAGAACCAGTGACATGATCTTCGTCTGTCTTCAGTTTCTTGGTATCAGGCCCATCCGACGGTTCAGGCTTTCGTTGCTCATCTTCCGCCAGAGCTGAATCAATGCCACGCTTTTCGCCCGGCACTGTTTCATTTGTGGGTCCTACTGGAACCTGCGACTCATGGGCAATAGGAATATTGCCGAGAGCAGATCCTGCGGGCTCTGTCACGGATGGCTCAGTTTCTGGAGCGGGCTCGGGTGTCTCTAGCCCGGCGTCTGCCTTTAACTGGTCGGTATCTATATCGGGCTTTGCTGTTTCAGGAATAGGCGGGCTATCCGTTTGAGTTGTGTTTACTCTGTTCTGGAATGCACCTGAGTGTTCTTTGACTAGCTGGGCAGTGTCCCGATCTATTATATCCCTTAGTCAGCATATGGCATAGTTACACCTGGGCGTTAACTAAACAAAGAAAGACTGTCCTGCAACCATATTTCCAGGAAATAATTGGGCTGCTTAGACCAATTACTCCTCGGATTCAGCAGTAGTGCATGGAAACCACGTACCTGAATCTGCATTGCGGGCTCCTTCGGCCATTGTAGATCGGTGATGTCAAATGCCGCGACAGCGGGTTATAAGTTGGCAAAGATTGAGTGGGAGAGTATTCGCAAAAGCAATGCGACTGTAAATCTTGCTCAGGTGAGCTTGTACAAGGAGAAAAAAAACCACAGAGGAGTCGATCAATTTGGGGGGATCGTTAGGTGAGGTCGCGCGGTGACGTATTTAGAGCACTGGAGAGCCCTCGGCTGATTCGCCGCTCCAGCCCTCCAACTCTCCACGGCATTCTGTCGCACAGCCTCACCAGCTGCAGAATTACAATTGCCACGCAATGTTATCCACAAGACGTACTGTGACTAGCACGGGTTTGTTCGAGGTTAGTACTCGACCACAAAGGCTGTAAATCTTATCATTAGCTAGGAGATGATGTATGGATGTTTAGGTTATGCTCTTCATTGAGCCCAAACAGCTTGTCTAAAAACCGGCTGAGCCACTATTGACAATGGCTTATATATATATCACAGGAAGGTCGATATTTCGTATATTTAGTACAACGAAGAGGCATTTTTGAGATAATTGATAGTATTCAGGTGCATCTCAGATCACACACCTCTAAAATACTGGTTCAGCCAAGTCTGCCTGGTGACTCAAATCTCTCGGACGATTTGGCAAGCAATGTATGTACGACCGCCAAGAATATGAGGCTCAAACTCGGAGTGGAGTCGCGAGAGTGTATTTCCTTTGCGTGATGATTTGGAAAATGAAGGTTCGTCAAACATCCATGCTGAAAGAATTCAATTGTGTAATAGTACACAGACATGCGGAGGGGAGTTGCAGTGTGACGACATCACTGAAGTTGACCTCTTTTGTGGTTGAAAGATAGAGAGATATGTGTGTCTCCTGAGTGTTGGTGGCTTGAATGTTTTTCAAGAAACCTAGCTTTGTGCGAGAGTAGAGTGATTGTTCGATAGGTTTTGAGACCAGCAGATCATGTAAAGCTCCAGTTTAGACGGGCGATATGTTCCTCCTCAGACGATGTGTGTGACTTCTCAGCGACTGGAGTTGCTGGCTGTTCCGGTAGCAGTTCTGAAATATGTTGCTCTAGCCGTGAGATATCACGGAACCTCTTTCGGTCAACGAGGACACGGAGAGCCTCTGAACCAATCTCAAAGAAAGCATCACGCCTAGTTTCATTCCAGGCCTGGAATTTGCTTGGTGAGAGGTTCTCCACAAATTGGAGGAACGGGCGTGGATCAGGATCTGTTGGGTGGCAGACAGCCACAGATGCGAGCAGTAATGACCGAGGAGACAGCACAGAAACCGTATCTCTGAACTGATCATAAACTAGTGTTGATACCTGCTCCCCCGATGGTTTATGCTCCATGGCCAGACGGCTCAGGTGGGCGCCTGCAGCCAGGAGCATCGGCTTCCTTGACTTATGGGAAGAAGTACTTTGGAAATGCATCTGGCATACACTCAGATAATGTGCCATCGCTGAGTTGAAGCCATTTCCGAAGCAGAATTCTGCATCTATAAAATCAACAAGGAGATGATTAAACGTCTGCCGCGCGAGCCCTTCAGTCATCCGGCCATTCTGACTACCTAGGTCCTGGCTCATGAGCATCTGCAACCACTTCATAACAGTACTGTGTAATCCCTCTGCCACCATGAACTTGGTCAACGACGTAGTGACTGACCGCAAACGCAGAAGCATTTGCCTCGATGTGCCGTCTGATGCCCAATACCAATCAACGATCCTCGATGCAACCCGAGATGTATTCATATCGGCCGGGGACCTGGAAAGTAGAAGTTGAGACTTCAGACAATCATTGATTGTGAGGGTAGTGACTGAGCCAGCTGCAGCCATTTGATCAAATACGGCCATGGGCTCTTCGGCTAGTCGACGCTGGCCCTCAATGCTTTGCAATGTGGTGGGTTCTCGTGAGATGGGTTTAGTCGGAGTAATACGGAAAAGCGGATTGTCGAGGATATTCTGCAAATGCTGATCGGTTGCATGCGCTGATGATTCAGGGTTGGAGAGGGGCCGGCCATGGTTGTTGCCTGACGCGGGATAAGCCCCATCTAGTTGGCGACGAAAAGAAGACGTGAGGGCATTTAACAGTTGCTGAGACTCTCGTGGAGTACGAGGTAAGGGTTGATGGATTTTAGGCCAGGACTTGAACTGAAAAATGGATGTACCCTTCATGATGGTTTAAGAGTTTCAAGGTTCTGAGGGATGATGTGCATCGAGGTAAAGAGGAGGATCGACGAGGGCGGTGAAACTAGCCTTCTGTCGCCCAAAGCGAAAAAAAGGTGAATGACGAGTAGAAGAAACCAACCACACTGACACGAAACAATTTTCAAAAATTATTTCCATTCGGTCAATGGAATGCAACGAATTATCTAGATCTATAAATGTCTTCCAATATAATTATTCGGAATCAGATTCCGTTCAAAATGTAAAGAAACCAGTAAAGATCCCTTTGTTACTGTAAATCCCCCCCAGCATCCAATAAGCGCCACTCGCTAAAAGCCAGGCAACGCCAAGACTTGAAGGGAAGCAACTCAGATCCCGTTAGCTTTTGATCCTTTCTTCAATCTTGTCATCTCCTAACGCATTCTCCCTCTCCCCCAATTAATCTCTTTGATTTTACCTCTTTCTTTTGTCTCTTCTGGCCCTTGTGCCTGTGGTTCTGGTGCTGTTCCTCTTCTGCGAGGGTGCTCCATTTCAATAGCCTTTCCCTGCGAATCGTGACCTCCTTCCTCAATACTTCTCCATCTCACACATCTTCATCAATCAACATGTCCGATATTCAGAACCGGTCCTCCGCCTCGCGGGGTAGAGTATCCGCCCGTGGTGGCCGTGGCGGCTTCAGCTCCAGAGGTGGTCGTGGTGGAAACAGATCTGCAAATGATAATTCAGACATCTCATCCTTTGAAGAGGGTGAAATTGGACAGATGAAGAAGAAGTACTCCGACACTCTGCCAACTCTTAGGGAAATGTTCCCAGACTGGAAGGACGAAGATCTGGTATTTGCACTGGAAGACTCGAACGGCGAGCTCTTGGAGGCAATTGAGCGCATCAGTGAAGGTCGAGTTCCCGTCAACCCCAATCTCCCCGACTCGAAATCAATCGAACCTTGTGATTCGAAGACCGTGACTGACTGGCTTTACAGGTAATGTATCTCAGTGGGGTGAGGTCAAGAAGAAGACCGCAGACCGGACTCGTCCTAAGCCCAAGGAGGCCCCCAGTGCCTCGACCGAGACGACTGCAGCTTCTGCTCGTGGAACCCGTGGTCGCGGTGGAATAGAGGGTCGTGGACGTGTTCGCGCAGACCGAGGCCGTGGCGGTCGTGGAGGCCGTGCAGGAGCGACTACAAATGGATCTCGCGCAGTATCCACTGCTGTAGAGACTCCGGCGCCTTCTGCTATTATTGCTATCACATCCGAGTGGGATACGCCTAAGGCAGAGGAGACTTATGCAGAGCCCACAACTGAAGGCGAATTGGACTTGCCCGAGCCTAAGAGCAGTGTGATCCCTGAGGGCACAAAGAAGGGGTGGGCGAGTCTTTTTGCCAAACCACCCGCTCCTCCGGTGCAAAAGAAGCCCGAAGCCGCTCCTCCTGTTCCCGTCACCGAGAAGCCCACCGAGCCTGTCGCCGAGCCATCTCCCCCCGCCCCCGCTCCCGCACCTGTGTCTGCGCCCGCTACCTCACAGAAGACACCCGTCGCCAAGCCCACCCATCCCGTGATCCCCGCCATTCCGACCGCCGCCGTTAACCCTCCTCAGGACGACTTGACTGAGACGAACCTCGAACAAATCCCCGATGCATCCGCCCCCGCTCCTACCGCCACCGCCGCAAGCACCATTGGCAGTGGTATTGATCCCGCAGCTGTGGCCGCAGCTGCCCCTACTCCCTCCCGCTTCCCCGCGTCTGCATACCCTCCCAGCGCTACCAAACAGGGCCGTACCCCAGGCCTTCAACGCCGTGTGATGGAACAGCAGCAGGCTGTGGTTATGCCCGGCAATCACGCAGTAGACCGTGCTGCTGTTCAATTCGGTAGCATGGGACTGAACGGTGACGCTATTGACATCGATGAAAACCGCGAGGAGGCCGAGACCCGCGCTCAGCCCCCGCAGCACTCCCCCGTTGCCCCCCGTGCCTCTCTTCCACCCGCGACTCAGGCACCCCACTCAATGGAGTCTGGTGCCGTTGGGCGTCCTGCCCCTGGTTTGCCTCCGGTCCCCCAGGGTGCTTCCGCCGACTCTTTTACCGACTTCGCTCGTTACTCTGAGCCCCAGCAGAAGCCATTCGATCCCTTCACCCAACAGGTGAGCCAGCCGCAGCCGCAGATCCCAGAGCCATTCGCCAACCAGGCTCCTGCTCAACCTACTGCCACCACCGGCAGCGAGTACTCTCCTTTCTACGCTGCTGAGCAGCAGCGTTTCCCCTACTACGCTTCCTATGGCTCTTACGGCCAGACCCAGGACGCCCCCGCCGGTCCTCGCGCCGGAGCTGGGTTTGGTGTCTCGGGTGCTGAGGCCCAGGCTCAGATTACCACCACGCAGCCTCCTAACCGCTACGGCCCTGTTGACGCCACTAACAGCGGCCACAACACTCCCAATCCCACCATTCCCGGTGCAACCCAGCAGACTCCCACTGCTCAGCATATGCCTGGCCAAAGTGCGCAGCAGCACGCCTATGGCTACCAATATCCTAACTACTACAACAACCCCCACTACGCTTCTTACATGAACCAGATGGGCCAGCAGCAGCAACAGCAGCAGCAGCAATACGGTGGCGGTAACCGCCCGAGGTACGATGATGCTCGCCGGTATGAGGATCACTACATGCAGCAGCAACAGCAGCATAACCAGCAATACGGCTATGGTAGCCAGTATGGTCCCTATGCCGGTAAGGGTGGCATGTACGGCCAACCCCACGGGGCTTTCTCTTATGACCAGCAATCGTCTTCCCCCGCAAACACCGGTAGCTTCAGCCAGGCCATGCCCAGCCGCGACTCTGTCTACGGCCGTACTGGCTCCGCCCAGCAGTCTGATAACCAGTCTGCTACTGGCGCCAATGCCTTTGGTACTGGGATGTCGGATGTTTTCAGCCGTTCCCAGGGCAGCTTCGGCCCAAATCCTCCCATCGCCGGACAGCCCCCTGTTGCCACCGACGAGACCAAAGGCTTTGAGGCTCCCAAGGCCGGTGGTCCTAGCCCCTCTCTCGCCCAGAACCGTCCGGGATCTGCTACCAACAGCGTCCCAGGTCAGCCCCAGGCACAGACTGGTCTTCCCCCGCTCCAGGGTCAGCAGGGTCAGCAGTCCTTCGGTAGCTACCCTCAGCTAAACCCGCAGTACGGTGGACTCGGTGGACTCGGTCACCAGGGTGCGGCCACCCAGACTCACCAGGCCTCTGGCTATGGTAACAACTACGGGGCAGGCTTCGGTAACTACTATGCGAACTCTGGCCGTGGCGGCTGGGGTGGCAACTACGGCCACTAAAAAGACAAAAAGAAACGAAGGGGAGACATAATGACCCACCAAACACATATGGCGTTGCATTTGCGGATGATTTGAAAAGGGGTTTGGTTCTTTGTCCACTTTACAGGGACAGAAACCTCTAATGTCTTGTCAAAAGGACAGACAGAACTCAGACGATTTCTTTTCATCTTTCTCTCCTCAACATCTGTGTAATCTCTACTTCTCTTTTTTTGGGGGAGCTTGGCTGGTTTTCTTTACTTTGGGGGATTGTCTTCTTGATGTTTATTTGTTTTCTTTCTCGTTTCCTTGCCATTCCTCTCAGCCGTCTTGCTTTTCTTTGCTACCACTGCTCCCATCTGATGCGGTCTCTGTATTAAATTCACCAATTCCTCTCTAGGTTTCTCTGTTTTTCTTTTTTGTTTTCTCGCTATAACCTAGTCGGTGTCTATTCGGGTACGGTGTGTCAATTGTTTCCGCGGACGGTTTTCCAGTTTTTTTTTTTTTAACCTACTTCTCCCTTCTGTTGTTCTGTCTTTGTCCCTCACCATGTGCAATATCGGTCGATGATTATGATGTATGGCTGAACGGGTCTGGTAGAGGTAGATCCAATGCCCAGTTGCGTTCTGGGCTAAAAGTGTCATGAATTATGTATGTCCTGTACTGTCCAGTGTGGCGCCTATATATAGAGACTGTTCTAGTATTGTACATTGTAGCTTTCTCGTAGTCACGGAGGTACTAGTTGTTCGTCATTGACGCAGCATTCAGCCTCGACATGAACTTTCACCAAGTTCAAAGATGTAAACTATCAATTATTTCAAGATACCATATCATTATATGGAAAAGTTGAGCCGTCCAAGCTTATAAGCAAGTGCGCGGCTTCAACTTCAACCTGGACCGGGAACTATATACAATCGAAATGCAAAATGACACGGTGCAGAATAGGAATCCAAAAACGTCAAATCTATGTTGTGCAAGCTAGGTCCCAAGAAAAATTCAGAGGGCGACAGAGAATTGTCCAATCCCAGCAATAGTCTACTCGGTGAGACCGAGACCCTCGCCGCCAATCTTGTGGTAAGGCGGCTGAGCGCCAGCAGCCTTCTGAGCATCGAAGCGCCAGATACCGCCAGTCTTGTCGGCCTCGAAAGGAAGATCGATGGCTTTAGCAAGATGCTGGATTTGGGGGTCCTCGGCACTCTCCTCAATACGGCTGAAGAAACGGCGCTCCCACTCGCGGCCTGCCTCCTTCTCGAGGCGGCGCTGTTCGCGCTGAGCGGTCTCAATGCGCGACTTGTTCCCAGATACGGCATCCATGTCGCCCTTCTGGATGTTGGCGGCCACCTCGCTCCAGGCACGTCGGCTCTCGTACAGATCTTGATGCTCGAGGGGAGCCAGGGTGAGCGGAGTGACGGGGTCCTCCTTGGAACTCCAGGTGTCGACGACGTCTTTGGTGTGGGCGTCCTTGATAATGAACTTATCCGACCACTGGCCCTCTACAGTGTAAAGAGGCTTCTTCTCGCCCTCGCTTTCCTTGAACAAGCTTGCGCTGAAGGTATTCTTCTTGCCGCTCAGCCAGCCCTTACCAGAATAGTCGATCTTAGCGACATAGCCAGTGCTGCTGACAATCTTGGTTGACTTCTCCAATTCGACGAAGGGCGAGCCGTAGATCAGCGATTCGATGTGTAGGTTGGGTAGTGTGATCAGGTATTGCTCCTTATCGTCGGATCCGGGCTTGGTGAGAGTGTACAGCGCATGGCCAATCTGCTTCACGAGGATGGTACTAGAAAAAGAGGCCTTCTGCGCGTTATATCCTTGCAGCTGTGGTTGTACTGTCAGTTATTAACATCTCAATGACTTGGTACAATCTTTATCCACTCACCTCGACACCGTTTGCCTCGTTGCAGATAGCGTAGGCTGTGGCCGGAGGATGGTGGCTAGTATTCAATCAGTGGGTTGTAGTTTTATACAAAAGTGGTCTCGCGTACCTGACTTGTTCACTGATCAAGGTAGTCTCCCCTACTTCCGCGTCACCCACCCATTTGCCGATAAACAGCTCTCCCAGGAACGGGTTCAAAGGCTTCTTCTCACTACCGAGCTTCTCACTACGGCTGCAGTATTGCTGGCGCAGTGTGCTGAGGAACCACTTGAGAACCAGCAGAGCACGCTTCGCGGGATCGGCCTCCTTAGCTGGTGCCACGAAGAGGGCGGGGTGTTCGGCCCAGTAGGCGGAATACTCGGTGAGAGAGGTAGTAGACAGGATGAAGGGAGGAGCGGTCAGCGAGGATAGATCGCCATTAAAGGAGGCAATCGACTGGAAATTTGTTAGCAAAGGTATACTCGAACAAAATGAGCCTGTATACCTTTAGGAAACTTGTCCATGAGCCCTTGCTATTAGCAGGGACCTGACTCTGAGGAGACATATTTTGGAATAAGAATGAATTCGCAAGCTATTAAATTGGGCTCGAAATCTCCAGGACAAAAGCAAAAAGCGTGGGGGAGGTAGGTAGAGGGACAAAGTCGGTCATTGGCGGTCAGAAGGGGATAACGTCATGGGCAGGGGCTGAACAGCCACAACACCAGAATAGGCATTCTTCCAGATACTCCTTTTGAAAGAGTTTTTTTATTAAATGATCAATAGTTAACTAACTAAATAGTCAACTAGTTAACTACTTATTTTATAATTACGTAGTTAGTTACGTGTAGGTAGTTATATACTAGCATCTGTTCGACATGTGAAAGACTCCCATCTCACTAGCCGTAGTGGGTCAGTACTAGGTAACAAAATGAATGAGGAATGAGAGCCTGAATTTGAAAAAAGCTAGTAAATATCTATTAGCTTATAAGATCCCCAAAAGATTTACAACATACATTATAGTATAGTTAGGTGTTTTTCTTCGTCTTCCATGCCCAACTAGTACTCCGTACGGATTAACCGTATCTCCGGCACCCGTAGCCCCCGGATTCTTTTCCGCCCCTCTGCCCTACTCAACAAACCCGCCGGTCTTCTCCCCGAATCACATTCGTCTATCGCCTCTAAACTGGGAAGAATGGACCCCCAGAGATGATAGCAAGCCCTCTGTTCGGGGGCCGCTGGCCTCTAGAAATGCTACATCGGAAGCAACCCGCCGATCCTTCCAGATGATAGGGAAAAGAGCCATTCAAATTTCTCTGACTCACGCTTTAAGTCTGCGATATATCTCGTTGCTGTTGACTTGCTTAGACTCAATTCATTCACTTTCATCTCTTCACTTTTTACTATTTCAATTGAAGACGTTCTGCGTTCACGGATCTACCCGACGAGCATGATCTCGGAAAGAAGCCGAATTTAAGAACGATTGCAAATATTTCTTTTTCATATCTTGCATCTGCACTGCGATAGACTCGGATCTGATTTACCACAAGCTAGCACGCACTTGCTCTTGCTAAAAGGTTCCTGCCATGTCTCCAACTACCTCGAAAGCTTCCAGCGAGGACAGGCGGTCTCAATCCTGGGCGAATGAAACCGAAATTCAGAGATCCCAATCCCGACGCTCACAGCGAGAAGGAGCTGTGAATAGTCTTGATCACGTACAAAGCCATGTTTCACATCATGATATGGTTGTCAACGATGACTTCCAGGAGGTCAACGCAGAGCAATATCTACGCTTTTCACCAGCACGCAAGGTCATTATCGTTGGGATCCTTTCCTTCTGCTCTTTCCTGGCACCTATCTCTTCTACCTCTATCTTAGCTGGTATACCTGAAGTTGCCAAGACCTATAACACCACAGGAAGTGTGATAAACGCGAGCAATGCGTTATATATGGCATTCATGGGCATTGCGGCTCCCTTTTGGGGGCCCTTTAGTCAGGTTTGGGGGCGACGTCCGGTGAGTAACGAGCATATGTTCATGTTGAAGTAACATGCTAATTGGGACTAGGTTTTCCTTGTGAGCGCATTCTTATTTTTCGCGTTTAGCATCGGCACGGCACTAGCACCCAACCTCCCAGCGTATTATATTTTCCGCGTCTTGACTGCATTCCAAGGAACATCTTTCTTGGTAGTTGGGAGCTCGGCGTTAGGTGATGTATACGAACCTCGAGCGCGGGCAACAGCGTTGGGGTGGTTTTTGTCAGGAACCCTGGTTGGGCCAGCCTTTGGACCATTCATTGGCGTATGTCTATCTTATAACCCCGGCGCCGAGACAATCCGCTGATCTACTAATATAGGGCGTGATTGTCACCTTTCGCTCATGGCGAGCGATCTTCTGGCTCCAGGCTGCTCTTGGAGGCTGCGGCACGCTTCTTGTCTTCTTCTTTTTCCCTGAAACCTACCCGAATTTGACTAAAGGCGACATAGCCGACAAGACGACGTGGCAAAAAGCCAAATACCTTTGGCACCGGATCTCTCCCCTCCAAGTTGCTATCATGCTATTCAAATACCCCAACCTCTTCTGCACGGGTCTCGCTGCCGGCGCTCTCGTTTGGAACCAGTACTCTCTGTTGACTCCGATTCGATATGTACTCAACCCACGCTTCCACCTCACTAGCCCTATCGAGACGGGACTGTTTTACATCGCTCCAGGCTGTGGTTATCTTGTTGGCACACTCATGGGTGGAAGGTGGGCAGACCACACTGTGAAGAAATGGATTCGCAAGCGCGGTGGTGTCCGAGTCCCCGAAGACAGACTTAAATCTTGTCTGATATTCTTGGGTGTCGTCATCCCCGGCTGTATTTTGATCTACGGCTGGACGGTCGATAAGGCTGTTGGTGGAATTCCAGTCCCCGTGCTTGCGATGTTCTTCCAGGGAGTGGCGCAGCTGTTCTGCTTCCCTAGTCTCAATACCTACAGCCTGGATGTTATGCAGTCAAGCGGCCGGAGTGCTGAAGTCGTTGCCGGTAGCTACCTATCACGGTACGTGTTCGGTGCTCTGGGGTCTGGACTTGTTCTTCCGGCGATAGAGAGCATGGGAGTGGGGTGGTTTAGTACCATCAGCGCCCTATTTTTGATTGTATCCGGGGTCGGTGTATGGCTCACGACTGTTTTCGGCGATCAATGGCGGGACAAGGTCGAAAAGAGGGACCAGCGTAAGGTCGAGGAGAGCACCAAGGAGATACAGCAGGAAACAAAAAAGGCTGAGACATGAAGAGTCGATTTAGAATATCTCGTTGGAGACATGACATCTATGTAAGACTTAATGATAGCATGTGACATATCAAAACAGAGACTAAAAGAGAGCTGAAGAATAACAACTCAAATGTTCGCAAAATACACACGCTCACTCCCTCACCGAAGTGCTTGCGAGCTCGTTTTGCACTTCGGGGACATCTTCGTTACGAGCTGATTGCTTCCCCTTTGCGATATAAGCGGGATCTAGACCACTCTCCGCCACGACACGATCTATCTTGCGCTTTTCGGTGAATTCTCGACAGTCCTCACGACCCTTTTTGATGTCTACAAAGCAGATAGCGATCATTGCCCCAGCGCAGATTGCAAACAAAAATGGGAAGCCCATCCAGTTGTTGTGGGTATTGTTTATGATGGCTTGGATGACATTGGGACCGATTATTGAAGACTAGAAGGTTAGTGATTCGAAGGAAATATAACATTCAAGACATCCGACTTACAGCGCGATTGGTTATTCCAAAAAGTGCGAAAAACATATTATCGTAGCCGCGTGGCATCAATTCGCTGATCATCGTTTGAGCGTACTGGCACGATATTAGAAGCTATGGGAGCAGGAATTGTGTTGAAGACCATTCAAAGTTCCACCTACCGCATAGTATGGAGCCTGGAAAAGCCCAAAGATGATATTGTAGAAGTAAAACTCCCACTCCATGGCTGTTAGCTGCAGACTCTCAGTTGGGGCCTGATACATACCCTGTTGTGATACCCGATGCGATCGGTCCATAGTCCTAGCATGCCCCAAAAGGGGATCAAAACGGTAAAGAAATTTGTGAACAAGAACATAGTCTTTGTCTTAAATTTGAAGTACTGTTGTATATACCAAAAGCCGAATGTTGAGGTGATCGAGCAGGCCGCTTGGGTAATGCCGAGATATGTAATCTGCAAGAAAGAAAACGAGACGGAGTCGTTTTGGATGATGCTGACGAGGGTACCTAATAATTCATATTAGTGAATTCCCTTGTCCACATGGGGCTATAGAGTCTCGTTGCAGCAAGCAAAGAAGGAATGAACCCACCAGTAGTGTTTAGGCCATCGGCAAGAAGGAAATAGGCGAAAAAGTACAGAAATGTCTGTGGGAGAGACCGAATTTCCCGAATGGCCAGCCAGATCTGCTTGAAGCCAATGGTGGTGTAGCTTGACCCTTTTGGTATTTTTGGACCTGGCCTTTTTTGCTGGAAAATAAACCACCAGATGCCAAGAACGACCCAATCTGTAGAACGTTAGATAAATCCCACACTAGATTGACTGCTCAGAAAGCTTACATGAGTTGGTAAGACAGAGGGCCAGGTTATTCGAGAAAGTGTTGTTTTGGAGTGGAAGCAGGACGCTAAGATTAAGCACGAGCGTGAATAGGTACCCAATGTTACTGTGTGCAGTTGAAATGTTGCTACTATCGTCAGCGACATCTTGGCCAGGAGCTCAAAGTTTCCCAACTCACCTGATATGATTTCTCTCCAGTGATTCAACCGTATCGTATTCTTCCTGGTTGATCTTACCCTCTCTGAGATCCTCTTCTCTCGCTTTGCGCACATGCGGCGTATACCGTGCCAGACGGGGAAATACAGCAGCATAGAATACTAGCGTCGCGCCGTAGGCAATGTATGAAACAACGTACAATGCCATCGCCGTTGGCCACTGGCTTGGATGTCGGATGGACATCATACCATACTGCAGTGCCCAGCAGACCACTGTCAATGCCAGAAGAAGCCATCGGCCGAATGTTCCGTAGTCTGCAGCACTTCCCAGCCAGACGAATATCACTGTCATGAAAGTGAAGCAAAGGCCATTGGCAATAAGAACCACGGAAGATACTGATCTCGTGCCTCCCGCCCACGGCACTACACATGCCGATGAATCGGTGCAGGCTTTAGGTGGATTCGAGCCAGGTTGATGTCCGGCACCGTTCAAGGCCCACTGGAAGCTTCATGGGATTAGTCGAAAAATTCCAGCGTTGCCATTTGTACATACAGAGCTTGACTGTACGATCCCGGACCGACACCGTTATCGCCATTGTAATAGAGATAATAGGACCATAGTTCTTTCCTAGTGGTGGTTGGCTGCTCATACGCGTCCTCGTCGACGCCAAAGAGCTGTTCATACTCCTCCAAGGTAGAATGTGGCTGTGAGGCGGCCACCTGAACCGATGTGGGGTTTTTACCATTTTCATGAATTTCAGCCATTTTGGAAGTGCAAGTGTTAGTTCAAGTTGGACGAGATATCACTTGCAAGATATATATCTCCTATCAAGCCCTGGAGGTTACCTACCCCGCATCCATCGAACTTGCCTTATCTTTTATATCAGATGTTGTTACATTCAAATGTTCCAATCGCAATTGGCTTTCGCTAGACTCTAAGAGGTTAAGCTGAAATATCCTCAAGCGCAAGTGTAGGTGCAATGTTGCATCAAGTTCACGGGTGGACACCGAGTCAACTCCGATCCTTTTCAACGTCACTCCCGTTTAAACCATCTGCAATCCATGAGACCATCCAAATAAAATCAACAAACCCAGAATGGTTTCTTCAGATCTTAAAAAGCAGGTTGGCCAGGTATATGAGCTCTGAAACCCCTGTTTTGTGAATCTCACTGACGATCGCAGCTCTTCGCGGTGGGGTTCTATGGCTGCACCCCAAGTCCCGAAATCAAGATTTTGATTCATGACTACCACGTTGGAGGTATCGTTCTCTTCTCGCGCAATTTTGAGAATTCAGAACAGCTCCAGGTGCGATATCCGAGGTTCCAAGTATCTTGACGCGTGACTAATCTTCTTCAGGCCTTGACACTAGCTTTACAGAATGAAGCCAGATTGGCTGGACATGAGCGACCATTATTGATCGGAATCGATCAGGAGAATGGGTTGGTCACTCGCATATCTCCGCCAATCGCTGCTCAAGTACCAGGCGCCATGGCACTCGGCGCCACGCATGACCCGGAGTGCGCCTACAGTGCGGGGAAAGCCACGGGGGAAACTTTGAGTTTCTTCGGGATTAACATGAACTATGCACCGGTGTGCGATATCAACTCGGAGCCCTTAAACCCAGTTGTTGGTGTACGCAGCTTTGGTGATGACCCTGAATTTGTGGGCCGGTTTGCGAGTGCGGCCGCGCGGGGTTTGCGGGAGCAAAACATCGTCCCTAGTGTGAAGCATTTTCCAGGTCATGGAGACACAGCTGTGGACTCGCATTATGGACTACCGGTGATTCCCAAAACAAGGGATCAGCTGGAGCGTTGCGAATTGATTCCATTTAGGCGGGCTGTCGCTGAAGGCATCGAGACCGTCATGACTGCTCATATCTCGCTGCCCTGTATCGATCTCACGCGGCCTGCAACACTTTCTCCGGATGTTATGGGGATTTTGCGCAAGGACATGGCCTATGATGGTATGATCATCACAGACTGCCTGGAGATGGATGGAATCCGCTCTACATACGGTACAGAAGAAGGCTCGGTCCTAGCGTTGCGCGCTGGCAGCGATAGCATCATGATCTGTCATACCTTTGATGTGCAGGTAGCATCGATCAAGGCAGTTTGTGAAGCAATAAAGTCCGGCAGAATCGAGCAGTCACGACTGGCGGACGCTTGTCGCCATGTTGCTACGGTGAAGGACAAGTATTTGAACTGGGATGTCGCTCTTCAAAAATCTAATCTCGCAGACTTGAACTCGCTCAACAATAGAATTGCCGAGACGACTATGGATATATATTCTCGATCGACCACACTCGTTCGTGACAAAAATGGCATTCTCCCCCTATCAAAGACTTCAATCATCATCTTCCTCTTCCCTGGAGATAATATCCCAGTCGGTGGTGCGGTTGACGGCGAAGGAACGGGGAGGCCAGGATTATATCAGTCTAACAGATATCTTGATGTCTTGCGGCAACACAACAATTCCATTGCGGAGCTCAGATACGGAGCGACCGGTTTGACTTCGGAGCAATGGCGAACCCTTGAAGTCGCTGATGTGGTGATTTTCACTTCATTCAATGCAAGAGAGTCGCCATACCAGGAGTCATTAGGCTTGGAACTCGCTGAACGTGTTCATGCATTGGTGCATATTGCTGTTTGCAACCCTTACGACTTCCTTGATGCTCCTAGTGTGAAGACCTATATTACCACATACGAGCCGACCATCGAGGCATTTTCTGTGGCTGCCGATATCATGTTTGGAGCATTAGTCCCGACAGGTGCTCTTCCGCTGGGGATTAATGCTTCGACAAAGACCTCTGCGGTAGTAATGCCATTTGATGCGCAAAGAGATCTGGATGAGGTGGTCGAAGTCTGGGCCGCTGCTCTCCCGACCTACCTTATTCCCGCTGAAAGTTTGCGGTCTCTGATAGTACGCCCGCATGGTCACCATTTCATCGCGCGTTTTGGATCGCAGCTAGTAGGCTTCTGTCTTGCTTATACAAATGCCCATAGTGCACCAAACACCGTGTATATCGCAGTTCTTGCCGTGTCGCCAAAGTACCAACATCAAGGCATTGGAATTGCCTTGCTAGACGAAACAAGAGCATACTTCCGGGCAACCTTTGGCTTCAATAATGTGAAGCTGGGCAGCTCATTCCCCCGCTTTTGGCCCGGGATACCCCAGGACCTTCCAGAAACAGTGCAACATTTCTTCACTCACCGTGGTTTCCGACTCAGCCCTCCCAGTGCCCGGTCGGTTGATTTGTACCAAGATATTCGGAACTTCCAGTCGCCAGAGAAGTATATCACTCGTGCCCGGGAGCGAGGCTTCCGCTTCGCGCCATTAAAACCCGAAGATTACGAGGCCTGTTTGGTTGGCCAAAGAAAAAACTTCTCTAAGGACAGTGTAAGACTCCTGTGTTTCTCTCCACTTGTACTTTGTTGGAATTCATACTAAAATTTTATCAAGAGCTGGGTGGAGGCATACGTCGCTTTACATCCCGACAAGTATCCCGACAGTGTGATGATAGCATTCGACTCTCACGGCCAGCAGGTTGGTTGGACACTAATGCTCGGTCCATCATATGCTTTGAACAAGTCTTGGGCATTCCCCCAAACCTGTGGTCCAAACACAGGGCTCATTGGTGCCGTAGGAATTGATGAATCACACCGCAAGCATGGCATTGGACTGGCATTGATCTGTCATGCTATTGAAAACATGAAGCAGCGAGGCATTGAAGGTGTCTTTGTAGACTGGGTTGCGCTCGACGGGTGGTATGAGCAGGTTGGGTTCAAGACCTGGAGAAGCTACAGGCCCGGGGAGCTTTGACTATTCAAAATTGCTATTGCCTCTTTGTTTATTGTTCAGAATTTGGTTACTAGAGGAATTGATGTATAATTCAGACCTTTGACATAGGATCACTCCTAGATGCAAGGAATGTTATGATATTCTTGCAACGAGCTTGACTTGTTCCTTTGTACTATTGTTTTTCGGCACTGTGACCAGAAACCCAATATACTACCATCAATCAATGCTGATCAGAAGTGGTCATGGCATCAATCTTGGCCCGGCAATTCCGGAAAAATTCAGCTCTCTGCTCAGGAGTCCTAGTCGAATGAGGAACATCGACTCCCTTTTGAACAGCAGCACGCTTATCAATCTCCTCGACCCACTTTTTCAAAGCGGGGAATTCAGATAGATCAATCTCCAAGGAAACAGGAGCACCACGAACCCAAGAGAAACTCGCAATATCGGCAATAGTATACTTCTCACCCGCGAGGTAAGGGCTTTCCTTCAAACGCGATTCGAGGACCGAGAAGAGGCGCTTCGTCTCGTTGATATAACGGTTGATACCGTAATCGGAACGCGTATTGGCGAAGAGACGGAAATGGTTCGCTTGTCCTATTGGGTGTGAGAGAGAACCTGAAACACACGTACAAGAGATTTTGAACGCACCTTGCATAGGCCCGAGCCCACCCATCTGGAACATTAACCAGGATGTTTGTTCGACGTGCTCCGAGGTACCAGGGGCGTAACTGATCTTCCGGTCGGTGTCATACTTGTCGACTAGATATGTCATGATTGCTCCGCTCTCAAAGACGCGCTGCGAGCCATCGAGTAGGGCGGGGATGCGGCCGTTGGGGTTGATCTTCAGGAACCATCTGTTCAAGGGCTTTCATCAGCTTATGTGACATGTCGTATTGTGTAGTAGAGGTGGTTGTGTACTCTTCCTTTTGGGGATTCAAATTGGAGGAGATATCAAGGCCTTCAGTTTTATAAGCTAGACCAAGCTCCTCGAGGGTGATGGAAGCTTTGATGCCATTCGGCGTGGGCCAGGTATATAGGGTAATGTTTGAAGACATAGTAGAATATGGGTGAAATCTGGACGCGAGGTGAGATAATCGAGGTAAGTCTTTCAATGAACGAGAGAACATCTGGAATAATTAAGGAAGCAAGTAAGTAGTACTTATGTAGTTATAAGAAGCTCATAGATTCTAATTTGTCAGCTCTCCACAATCATGGATGCCCTCGGAGATAAGATGACGTCATATCACACTGGTTGACTGAATATCGAAGTATTCAACTGTGTCTCATAAATATTCATTTGGCTTCAATCTATTACACCTCTATGTAGTTCTGGTCATTATGTATCGAAGTAGATGAACCTCAAATCTGCTGTGCTACCAAAGTATGGTGATCCACATGTGGGAGGGGGATCTTTGAGGGGAATGGGAAGTTCTATCTAATCTGCCAGATGGCCGTAGGTCTATTTCAGATCACTTCTCCAGAGACGACTGTTACGATTATTGAAACTCCCTCCGCGAGGAGACTAAAGATGGTAGACCCTTGCTTCGATTACCAAGCGCTTGTACGCATGCACGGCAGCACAATTGCCATCTTTTCTCTCGTAGCGGATCAGCTCGAGGCCATCCTCGAGACATTTCGAATCGCTGCGAGTTCTAACTGGCCTATCGGAAGGTAGAGACAAATCCTAGCTCATTTCTCACTCAACGAGAAGCAGTAAATCGGAAAAGGAAAAGGTTCGATCGCCAGATATAATCAGATATATATAACATATGCAATCTTGCTAAGGTAACATACATTTTTCGACTTTTTGAAGCCGTTTCCGCACGAAGCAAAGTGGGTATAATATCCCACCTGCGAGTATTGTAGATGAGAACAATGGGATGGTGAAATTTTGGAAATTTATTTCTGTATTTGCTTTGCTCCTTGCAGCAGGGCACACAGACGCTCTCCTAAGGATGCATTGGCCATGCAATTCGACAGTTTATTACATGGTAGGGTGTGCAGGCACCCGCAAGGGCGATCCCTTTCTGGAAGGACAGATGCTCTTCTATACGGGATAGCATGGCCCAGGATCTAGCATGGCACATGGTACATATACTACGCTTGGACGCCTGATCGGCAATGTAACCATGCTATTCTTCCCACCAAGAGCTAGTTTAGGATTTGGCTCATAGAATTAACTAATATGCCAAGGGGCATTCTGCATCTGACATGTCAAACACAAAATACTTTGAACGGTGCAGGACAAGCCGAAAATGGACAAGAAAGGATGTAGCCAGTATTCTTTTGCCACAAATCGATGTCATGACTCGCATGGGGCGTTGAGAGGTTACCGAAGCATATCAAAATATTTCCCCAGATAAAACACGTTGATCTCCACATGGCCAGCCACGAGCACCTTGACGATGCAACCCTAGACGCGGCCCGCTCGAACCTCGAGATATCGCCGGGGGCGGTCACAGTAAATTGAGTGATGATGGCGATGATCTTTCAATGTGCCGCTTTAGGATCAGCGCGCCATGTTCCGGGACTAACTTATCGGGTTGGAATAATTGCCGTGTCTGGGGCTACTTGTTTTAATGCCAGTAACTAACGCTTATGGGGCACACGGCTTGAAGGGGACCGGGATAACTTGACTAGGGATCGGGATTAAATGAAACCCTAGTACCATTTCCGATATTTCCCTCATACCGTGGTTGGGCTCCGAGAGGGAAATTCATCCCCGAGGTGATAGACTGCCCTTAGAGTATATCCCCCGCATTGCCCCGGATTTCCACTTTTTCCCTCTCCCTCTCTCTACTGGATTCGGAAAATGTCTCAATTTCAAATGTTCGTCATTTTTTATAGTCGTTATAACCGAGGGGACTTGGGTCTCGATGCGGGCTCAAGGGCAAATATACCGACCACGTGAACATCTTAGCCCTGTGAAGTCGCCGGAAACAGGCCCGAACGTGGTTTAAGCCTAATTTAGCGCCAAAAAATGACTGGCTCTCAGCCATATGCCTAAATCCTTTTCGCCAATCACAATTCTGGCCCCTGTCTAGAGGCGAATGTGGCGCTCGCCCTGAGACGCCAATATCGAGAGCGGCGACCCTGATACCTCGCGAGAATTACTTTTCATATCTGTATCCGACAGGAATTATGGATGGGCTTGTAAGATCTGATTGCATGGAGACAAGTACCGCATAATTGAAAGAGAATATACCTGGGGCTTAACGGTAGAAGGCTTACTTTAATTTCCGACTTTGAACCGGTCTGGACAGAAATCCCGATCGGAAGCGACAAATCCTGGAGGATCATTGGCTGCATGTAGTTGTGCTTGGGCCGAGAGCCTTGTTCACCAAGGTAGCAGAGCACTTTCAATGTAGTATTTTGCCGAGACCAAGTCTGGGGTATTGGCTTTGTCTCCATTTTTCTTAGACTTTAGAGTTTCCCCGTGGGCAATCCGATGCGGGTCCCCAGATTCATTCCGTTTCGGGAAGTAGAAAGTCGTTCCTTGGAGCTTCACTCGTGAGGCTTTGACATCTTTTATTCTAGCCAATGATATTGTGCACCTTTTCAAATGGACTGGTCTGAGAAAAGATTCAATGGATATAAAAGGTGCCCCTCCCCCAAGGTCAATAAAATAGTCACCATTCACGATTTTGTTTGTCTCTGGAGCCTGATTCACTATCAAACGAACTAGTCTGGTAACTGAAATCGTTGGTTGGGTTTCCAACTCTTTCTCTCTATCACCCTTCCTCTATTACCCTTTCTCCATCACCCTTCTACCATCCTTTCTCCATCACCCTCCTCTATCAACCTTCATCTGTTCCCCTTTTCCATCAAAAGAGCCAGCTCAGCCACAGTCTCTGGTTTCTTTCTTAGTTTCTATCAACAGCTTGACCAGGCAATCGTCAAAATGGTTCAAGAGGTCATCACTCAGGTCGATTCTGGCCAGCGGTAAGATTTGGATCTTCCTTATGTTCTTTGCAATGCTCATCTCAGTTCCAATAGTTCCAGCAATGATCAAAACAGCGCCGAGAAGGGATACATTGAGCAAGTTGACCTTCAGAACAATGTTACCGCTAGGTAAAGTTCACTCATTTCATTCTCCTGTCATATATCTCTTTTCCCTCTCAGTGTACCAACATCAACCAGGATCAAGAACCCCTTGGCCGACTTGACCAAGACTCAGGTACTCCGCAACGTGGAAGAGTTTGCTGAGGAGTACAACGTCACAAACATCCTACCTGAGTTGAAAAAAGGAGCGCTTGTTGCGCGTGACCCTGCCGAGTTCGAGACAGTGGCAGACTTGACTGAGCTAGAGCTCACTGCCCTACGTGACGAAGTGGCTCACAAATGGCGCCAGCCTAGATCACTCTACTTCACCATTGTCCTGTGCTCTATTGGTGCAGCCGTGCAGTATGTGATTCCCCCAGTACACACACTAGGTACATCCCTAACAGAAATACAGAGGTTGGGACCAGACTGGCTCCAATGGTGCTAACCTGTCATTCCCCGATGCTTTTGGTATTTCAGAAGATCCCCAGAAGAGTGCTCACGCCAATCGGAACTTGTGGCTCGTTGGTATCGTCAATGCTGCTCCATATATCGCTAGTGCTTGTCTTGGATGCTGGCTCTCCGACCCCTGCAATCGGATCCTAGGCCGTCGCGGTACAATCTTCATCGCGTCTATCTTCTGTGTCCTTACTCCCATTGGCTCTGCGGTGACCCAGAACTGGATACAGTTGTTTGTGGTCCGTCTCCTCCTGGGTATTGGAATGGGTCTGAAGGCCTCGACAATTCCAATCTTCTGCGCCGAGAATACTCCTGCTGTCATCCGCGGTGGTTTGGTCATGTCCTGGCAGCTCTGGACCGCCTTTGGTATTTTCCTCGGATTTAGTGCCAACCTTGCTGTCAAGGATACAGGTAAAATCTCCTGGCGTCTGCAGCTCGGATCGGCCTTCATCCCAGCCATCCCTCTCCTATTCGGTGTTTACTTCTGCCCAGAGTCGCCTCGCTGGTACATTCGACGTGGCGAGATGGACAAGGCCTACCGGTCCCTATGCCGTCTCCGTAACACACCTTTGCAGGCCGCCCGTGATCTTTACTACATCCATACCCAGATCAAGATCGAGATGGACCTAATCGGCAATAGTAACTATGTTACCCGCTTCGTCGAGCTCTTCACTATTCCTCGTGTGCGCCGTGCCACTCTTGCTTCGTTTGTTGTCATGATCGCTCAGCAGATGTGCGGTATTAACATCGTTGCCTTTTACTCGTCGACTGTCTTCAAGAACGCCGGCGCAAATGATACACAGGCTTTGTTTGCTTCCTGGGGATTCGGCTTGGTTAACTTTGTGTTCGCCTTCCCTGCTATCTGGACCATCGATACATATGGCCGTCGGACTCTATTGTTGTTCACTTTCCCGCAGATGGCATGGACTTTGCTTGGCGCTGCTTTCTGTTTCTGGACCCCCGAGGGTACAGGTCATCTCGCTTCGATCGCCTTCTTTGTCTTCCTATTCGCCGCATTTTACTCGCCTGGTGAAGGACCCGTGCCGTTCACTTATTCGGCGGAGGTATTCCCTCTTTCCCATCGTGGTATGTTTCTCACTTTTGGTTCCCCTTTTCCCTTAATATTGTTTCTGGAACTAACATTGGTATCAGAGGTTGGCATGTCCTGGGCCGTGGCAACCTGCCTAGGTTGGGCTGCCGTGCTCTCAATCACGTTCCCCAAAATGTTGAGTGCAATGACTGCCACTGGGGCATTCGCCTTCTATGCGTAAGTCTTTCTACCCATATTGCAAGTTTCTCACCAAATATCTAACGGTAGAATTCAGTGGTCTGAACGTAACTGCCATGGTCATGATTTTCCTCTGGGTTCCCGAAACCAAGCAGCGCACTCTTGAAGAACTGGATTATATCTTCGCAGTCCCTACTCGGGTCCACATGAAGTATCAAGTCACCAAGGCGCTGCCGTATTGGTTCAGACGCTACATTTTCCGTCAAAATGTTGAGCTGGAGCCTCTCTACAAGTTTGACCATCTTGCGAGTGCTAACGAGGATGTTATCTTGTCGCGGAGGCAGAGTGTTTTCTCTGACCACGGAAAGTCGTAAATCGGTCTGGTCAACATGACTCGGATTGATTCTGATTGCGGTTTTTGTTCCCCGGGTTGCATCTAGCTCCCGATCTTTGAATATTCAATTGAGAAACAATGCAAATGAGATTTATTACAAGACTTGACCCTCTCTAGATATTAGAAAAGATAAAAGATTTCGCAGGGTATATACTCCCATCAGCGGGATAACCCCAAAGAAGGGAAAATGTGCTCCACACGGTTTCGCAGAATCCATGGTTGCTGGGAGATCAGCTGATGTGGAGATATGACCTGGACAAGTTGAATGTTGGTATAATTGCGATGACTGGGATGGTTTTGGTAGATAAATAGGTGCGAATCGTGGTATTTCACCAGGTAGAGTCATGGGATAGACCATCAACGACTATCGATGACTAGAGAAGTAGGCATGCTGTAGGCTACTATAGGCTTGATAGGTATTATCACGTGGGAGTTCGGGGATGGCAACGCTCATGTTTTGGTCCACTTCCGCCCCTCACCTTTGTCCTTGAGAGAGCTCACTTCTACTTTTCTTACTTCCATTCCTCTGTTCGCATTTTGACGTCTTATGTGCTTATTTGAGCCCGGAAGCCATATTGTCGTGTGTTCAAACCACTCCTCAGGATATTTATGACCCCCCCGTCATCGTGACCCTCCATTTTGAAACCCAGAAACAAACATACCAGCAGCTGCAGTGGAGCTCAAGGAACTGCTGTGGGCTGCTGGGTAAGTGGAAACCCACTACCTTGACCGCCTCCCACCTATAGCTTATTCTTTCAACTCCACGAGGGAGGGGAGAAAAAAACTACTAAGAAAGAAGTTTGCCTATCCTCCATTTGGCGTCACTTTTCTCGTGTTTTTGCCTGAAGTATCCCTGTCTTAGTTGCGGGGCAGATCTGGCCCTGCGTCTTTATTGGAGTCTTCTCCCCACAGTGCAATACCCATATTCCACTTAACCCATTCCCACCATGCCCTGCTTCAAAGGGCTTGCCGTGAGCATTCACACGCCCGATGGCCCGATCCCCGAATATTCCATTCAACGCCATTCTCGAGCCTCGCGCATAGGTTGTTTTATCCCCGTTCCTCCACCCAAAATCCCCAAATCTGGGACCGGCAAAGCGGAACAATCAACCTTCGCCATTTCCGTCACCCTCCTAAACCCCGAGCAAGATGTCCCGTACTCGACCCCAAAGCCGACAGCAGATTGCCCCTGGCCGAAACCAAAAGTGGCAGGGAAATTGGCCGGTGAATCAGGCCAAATCGCCGGGACGGTCGCACCATACCAGGGCTTGACAAATTCGGCGAACGAGACCGTGGCTGCATACATCTACTTCGACGGAAGACAAAAGGAGGAGGTGGCTACACTACTGCGACGAGGGGAAGAGACCTGGGTGAATTCACGCTGGGTCAGCGTTCCGGATAGCGAAGGCGGGGGAATTGCCGAGCGCGAGTTCTTGTTCCGCGAGGTCGGTCTGGAACGCTGGCTTAACGGACTGGACCTGGAAGGGAAGGATGCAGCAGCCAAGATTGAACGCAGGCGACAGAAGATGGAGAAGCGCCGTGCAAAGCGCGCCGCTGACGAGGACCCGACCGTCATGGAAATGGAGGACAACCATCCCGCCAAGTCCAAGAGTATTATGCGATACGGAAATGACGAGAAGTCGCCCCTCGAGGATGTTTCAGATGATGACCTCTCCTCCGACTCTGACGACGATGATCCAATTCCTGAGACGGCGGGCCAGATTAAGGTTGCTTTGTTCCGGGTTTTGGCATCGGGAGAGATCAAGCGGGGCGAGTATTCCCCGCAATTTGATGCGCACGACGATGAGGAGGGTGGTCAAGATAACAGCGGTGGAGGAGACGCCGATGTTGACCATACCACAAGTTTCGCGAAGCCAAAGTCACTCGACCCAAAGACCATTAGTACGCAGACTGTTACTGGTATTGACCCGTCTGATAAACCATACGCTGTTTTCACTTTTATGTACCGTGGTGAGCGTAAGTATTGCCTGGATCGCTCTTGATGGGAATGGTTGCTAATTTTACATCAACATAGGTCAATTGCAAAAGATGGGTATCTTGAAAGATGCCAAAGTGCAAGAGACGCCTGCTGCCAGCAAGCGCAAGTCCATACAAGCTGATATTGCAAACCTCGGCCCTATCAAACCTGGTGGCTCTGTTGGATTCCTTAATTTCCGGGACAGCGAAGCCAAGCCGCGGAAGGGAAAGAAGAGCGTCGACGATATGGACAGCGATGATGACGACACCGACAACCCCATACTTGGCAAGGCAGACGACGAAGAAGCCAAGGATGACGATCGGTTCCTCTCTCCCGATGACATTCAACGCCAGGGAGAGCTGGCGGAGAGCCTGCGAAAGATTCGAGTAGGTATAATTCTAACATTCTATGAATTCTCTGCTAACGACGTCACAGCTCAAGCGTCAGCACTCCGCCGAACCACCTGGAGGCAGTGTCGGTGACTCTGCCGATACGCCGGCTTCTGGAACTGGATCTACGCCTCCTGTAAAACAGCGCTCAGAAACACCGCCAAAGGCTGCCGCAGCTGGATCTGCAGGTGGGCACCTCACCGAGCCGTCTCTGCTAGCCGTTGAACCAGAAGATGGCCTTTTCGGTAGTCCACTGAAAAAACAGCGGGGGAGTGTCTCGACCGCAGATGAGAATGCCCTTAGACGCCGGATCGCAGAGTCCGGTAGAATCAATGAAACTCTAGGCTCTTCCGCTCCAACGGAATCAACTTTCACCAGTCCGAAGATATTCGGTGATGGGTTCAGTCTTACGCCTGATCTTTCTGCTGGGCCCCCAGAACATGATGAGGAGTTGTAATTCTGTGATCGTCGAAAATAGGTTACATCTGATGTCGAGATCTCGCTTGAGCCGTTGGGCCTGACAGGCTACTACTCTTCGCTTTGGAAAGCACTGGTCGTTTTTGCTGCGTCCTATGGATCTAGATAGGATTCTGCGAGTGGGCGGGATCTTCGTTGGATTTACTGGGTCCTCTGGATGGTCATAAATATTGCTTTTCTACAATTACGCCGTTATGTCCACTACTTACAATACAGGGAACATGTTGAAGGAGAAATACATTTGCTGCACCGATCAGGGCAGCTTGATCATGGGTTTAAGGCTGAACTAGGCGTTGTACGCCGAGAGAAGTCACTGTATACATCGTAGATTGTATATTTTAAAAGGTTTCCGGTGTCCGTCTGACTGCGTTTGTCAAGCATTTGCTAGACCGGCTTAAACCCCGATAAGCTTCTAAACCGTAGGCTATAGCTGAGACAAATCTACCTATTTCAAACTCCTCAACTACACATCCATGCTCAGAAGTATCTTTCTACGTGCATCTGCATTCCGCGGTGTTCTGGTCCAGCCCGGCTTTCTCCACCAAGTCAGAGAGATTCTGCCAAGCCCCAATTGAACCTCGAATCACTAACAGCTTCAATAGCCAGGAAGAGCCCCTATCCGCTACAAATCCACGATGCCACTCGAACGCTCGACAGACCCTTTGGTCTGGATCGACTGCGAGGTACGTCTAAACGTCCCATCTCCGATCCAAACCCTGCTACAGCGCATTTCAAAATTCTCACCACTAACCCCATTCACAAGATGACAGGCCTGAACCCGGAAACCGACAAAATCATCCAGATCTGCTGTTTCATCACAGACGCCCAACTAAACCTCCTCGAACCGACCGGCTTTGAAACCGTCATCCACGTCCCAGACTCCGCCCTCGACGCGATGTCGCAGTGGTGCATCGATACACACGGCCGCACGGGCCTCACCGCTGCCGTGCGGGCCTCGACCACCTCCCCCTCCACCGCCGCAGACTCGCTCCTCGCCTACATCCGCCAACATGTCCCGGTCCCGCGCACTGCCCTCCTCGCGGGCAACAGTGTTCACGCCGATAAGGCTTTCCTTGCTTGTACGCCGTACTCGCAGGTGCTGGATCACCTGCATTATCGCATACTAGATGTTAGTTCCTTGAAGGAGGCGGCGCGAAGATGGGGGAGTGATGAACTGCTTGAGCAGGTCCCGCCTAAGCGGGAGGTTCATCTTGCTAGGGATGATATTCTTGAGAGTATTGAGGAGATCCGGTTCTATAAAGAGAAGCTGTTTAAGTGATGGTGTGGCTGATTTGGTGGCTTGCTTTTCTCTGTTACTCTGAGACATGTCTGGGAAGTAGTTTAAAACTCTGCATGTTGAACTTGTCCATTGTTTTCGGCTACATTTCCCTAATGTGAGAAGACTCCATACAGTGTACAATATACTTTGGTTGTTGTACAAGACGCAGGCTCTTGCTTCCCCCGCCGGAATGACCTGCGATGGACAATTTCTAAGAGTAACTTGACGAACAACTTATAGATTAGACTGAATAGAACAAATCAGAGCCTTGGGCTGTACAGAGTACATACGAAGTAGATTAAAATGTTGTGGCAAAGTACTACAAGAGTACTAGCGGAATGATCAACACATGACGCCAAACGTTGGCCCCTCTCCGTGGAGCTCAACAAGTCGGTGAACTTCTCGAACTTCTTCCCCTCTTCTCCTATTCTCCTAAGTACCTCTTCCCCTCCAATCTTATTCCATCATGTCTGTCCAGACAGTCTCTATCCAGCCCTTCACTGATCAGAAGCCTGGAACGTACGTTACTCGTTGCCCCGCAATTGAACTGCTAGCTAACTTGCTCCCAGCTCAGGCCTTCGCAAGAAGGTCAAGGTCTTCCAGCAGGACAACTACTCTGAGTCCTTCATTACTAGTGTTCTCCTGTCGATTCCCGAGGGTGTTGAGGGTTCCTTCCTCGTCATTGGTGGCGATGGCCGTTACTACAACCCCGAGGTCATCTCCAAGATCGCAAAGATCAGTGCCGCCTATGGCGTTAAGAAGATCTTGATTGGACAGCATGGAATTATGAGCACCCCGGCTGCTAGCAACCTCATTCGTGTGCGGAAGGCAACTGGAGGTATCCTCTTGACTGCCAGCCACAACCCCGGTGGTAAGTGATGGTCGGGAGTATTACGAGATCTGCTGGAGACTGACCAAACACTTTCAGGCCCCGAGAACGACTTTGGTATTAAGTACAACTTGGCCAACGGCGCTCCCGCCCCCGAGGGCATTACCAACAAGATCTTCGAGACTGCCAAGGCCCTCACTTCCTACAAATACCTCGATGTTCCTGATGTCGATACCTCCACCATTGGCACCAAGAACTACGGTCCCCTCGAAGTTGAGATCGTTCACTCTACCGCCGATTATGTGACCATGATGAAGGAGATCTTCGATTTCGATTTGATCAAGGAGTTCCTCAGCTCCCACAAGGACTTCAAGGTCCTGTTCGACGGCATGCACGGTGTGACTGGTCCCTACGGTGTGGATATCTTCGTCAAGGAGCTCGGTCTGCCCGCCAGCAGCACAATGAACTGCCAGCCGAAGCCGGACTTTGGCGGCGGTCACCCTGATCCCAACCTCGTGTACGCCCACGAGCTCGTGGAGGCCGTCGATGCGAACGGCGTCCACTTCGGTGCCGCCAGTGATGGCGACGGTGACCGTAACATGATCTACGGTGCCAACAGTTTCGTCTCCCCCGGTGACAGCTTGGCCATCATCGCCCACCATGCCAAGCTCATCCCGTACTTCCAGAAGCAGGGTGTATACGGCTTGGCCCGCTCAATGCCCACTTCCGGTGCCGTAGATCGCGTGGCTAAGGCTCAAGGTCTGCAGAGCTACGAGGTGCCCACCGGCTGGAAGTTCTTCTGCAACCTGTTCGACCACAAGAAGATATCGATCTGCGGTGAGGAGAGCTTCGGCACGGGCAGCAACCACATCCGCGAGAAGGACGGCCTGTGGGCCATCGTGGCCTGGTTGAACATCGTTGCCGGTGTCGCCAAGCAAAAGCCCAACGAGACCCCTAGCATTGGCTCCATCCAGAACGAGTTCTGGCAGACATACGGTCGCACCTTCTTCACCCGCTACGACTACGAGAACGTTGACAGCGAGGGCGCCAACAAGGTCGTTGGCACTCTGTCCGACCTGGTTGCCAACCGCGACACTTTCGTTGGCTCGGAAATCGCCGGTCGCAAGGTCGTTGACGCTGGCAACTTCTCATACACCGACCTTGACGGCAGCGTCTCCAGCAACCAAGGTCTGTACGCCAAGTTTGATGATGGCAGCCGCATTGTCGTTCGTCTGTCCGGCACCGGCAGCAGCGGTGCTACTATCCGTCTGTACGTTGAGCGCTACGAGGCCGACAAGTCCAAGTTCGGTCTCACCGCTCAGGAATACCTGGCTGATAACATCTCCCTGGCGCTTTCTCTGCTCAAGTTCAAGGAGTATGTTGGCCGCGAGGAGCCTGACGTTAAGACCTAAGTTTAGTTAGGTTGTTAGGGTCAATGTGGAACCTGCTGGATGGGAATCACCTTATAATTGTTTTGCAGTTATATCTGGACACGAGAAGAATGATGATCGAAAAGCAGGATCAGATTAGAAGAGTATACGTTGGCATGAGATGAACTGCATCTTTATTATAATCCGAGTTTGTCTTGGCTTACCTCCAGGTCTATGAAGCTAATGAAGCATATGCATTATTGTCCCCTATACTATACCAGATATCAAACAAAAGTATCATAGAATCGTAGCATCGTAGAATTGTAAATCATCAAACCTATCTATGTAATTATGCCTTCCACGCAGCAGCAGAAACCCTCAACTTCTCTCCCCACCAGCTCTCCCACTTAACAACTCTCTCCTCCCTCCTTGCCTCCTCCGCCGCAAAAACGACAGCATGACTCCGCACCGCCTCCTCGAGTGAACACCCAACAAACCTTGCTTGTGCAGTCTCAACATCCAACCCCCCCTCAACTGCCTCAACAGCGCTAACAAACTGCTTCGCAAGCCCGAAGTCTCCGCCACCATGCGATTCGACCTGCCCCGGTGGTGGCTTCGGCACATCAAAAACAGAAGTCTTCGCCGTAGCAAAATCATAAACAGTAATAGTTGTACTATCATAAGAAACCTCGCCAGTAGTACCATACACCCGGCCCCGACGCTCACACTGTTTCTCCGTTGGCGCAATCATATGGAAACTCGCCGTTTTAGCAAGCCGATGCGGCACCGTCTCCTCATCATCCCAGGCAAACGTCACAACCTGATCATCGCAGACATTGTTATCTGCTTCGTAGACGCACCGCCCGTACCAAGGTCGCACAGCGATATCCGAGTCCGACACTGTATCCCGGTCATAGTCCTCGGCAAGACAGGATAGGAGCAGCGACTCGGCAGCCTTGCCGCCTTGGGCACGGAACACATCTTCGATATCCGGACAGACGATGTCAACAGGCCAAGCCGTATGACCCGTCGCGAGATGGTGGTCATTATAGATTTTAACCGCGCTGTAGTTACAGTCACTTTCAGCGGGGCAGGAGAGACAGTTTGTAGCTTTGCCTGCGGAAACGGGCTTGCGCTTTTGGCGGAACTGCGTCATCGTGCCAGCGGACGAGATCGAGCGCGGGAAGTGCGGCTTGTGGCCTTGTTTGGATGCTGTTTCGGGTGAGGGTGGGGAGCAGAGGAGCCAGAGGATGAAGTCAATGTCGTGGCAGGATTTTGTGAGGAGGGAACCGTCGCCCGCTGCTGTTGCGCGTCGCCAATTGCCCCGGACGTAGCTGTGCGAGAAGTGCCACCAGCCGACCGGCTCGCAGTGTTCTAGGGAGACTATGTCGCCGATTGCGCGGTCTGTCAGGAGGAGTTTGCGAAGGAGGATGTTGTGCGGACTGTAGCGGAGGACGTGGCCGATTGAGAATATCTTCTTTGGGGCTTGGGGGGTGTTGTTTGGGCCTTCTGGTGGTTGGAGAGTTCGGTATACTGTTAGACAGTCGTCCAGCGAGAGGGCAAGTGGCTTCTCGCAGAGAATGTGTAGTTGGAGCGGAGCAAGGGCTTGTAGGATCTCGACGTGTGTTTCGTCTAGTGTGCAGACGAAGACGCCGTCTACCCCCACGGGAGTTGGGCTTATGTCTGCTGTGTTATCCTCATTGTTTTGAGTCGCCCGCTTCCGTCGCTCCAGTTCCCACTGCACCCATTCGCGCCAATCTGTGAATTCCTGGCCCTCTTGAGGCTCTGGATGGGATTTGGATAGGCCCCATATATATTTTCGTCCGAACTCGCGCCGTTTGAATGCGTGGGGCTCGGCAATTGCGTGGATTACACCCGGTGTTACGGTTGTGACTGCACGGGCGTAGGCGTTTCCACGAGAGCCGGCGCCGATGACAAGGAATCGCAGTTGCTTCGATGGTGAGAAGGAGTAGCTGGGAGTACTCGCCGTGGGAGGTGGTATTGGTTCTTTCATGTTGATTTGAGGTTTGGTTGAAATATTGGGATAGCTTTGGAGCTTTTGGATCTAGAACATGACAATATGACGAATAATTGAAGGGATTTTCGACTCTGACAAGGTCTATTTATCCTGTTAGGGCTAAACAAAGAGTAGAGATAGTTATATATAATCAACAAATGTTCAGCGCGAGAGGTTGCAATTTACACGCGCTGTAACTGTAACTGCGCGTTGCAACTGCGGGGGAAACATCAGCAACATCAGCCAGGCTTTGATTGGCCACCATGGCCACTATCTATATTATATCTGTATCTTGTCGGTCTTCTCTCTCACCCTCTGATTTGTTTTCCTTGTCGAAAATCATAGCAACCTCTTCTAAAGACCGCCCTTTCGTCTCGGGGAAGAGTAAGTATATAAGACCCAGGAACACTATCAGACAGCCAAGAAAGACACAATAATACTTCCATGCAATCGCCGTAAACGCCACTGGGTTGACATATTGGTTGAAAAAACACGCCACAGCGTCCACCGAAAGGGTGACAGCAATGCCTTTGGCACGCAGTTGGAAGGGCAGGATCTCAGCTGGATACGATATGAAGAGAGGCGCATAAGCGATATCGTATGCACCAAAGAAGAGAAACAGGAGCGGAACAGCCGCTATCCCAGCAGCAGGAAGATGCTTTTCGGCAAATAGACCAGCGGCCAGTGTGGACATGGACAGGAAAACGATCATGGCTCCCGTGGAAATAAGCCATAGAATGCGGCGGCCGTATCGTTCCGATGCAAATGCACCAGCTACCGCAAGGAGGAGGTTCCAGACATTGAGGCTGACGTTCACAGCAGCTTGGTCGGCTGCCTTCGTGATTCCCACTGATGCGAGAATCGGTGCGAGGTAATAGGATAAGAGGCCTGCGATGCCGTTAGTGACTAAGTCTCTTTTAGGGCGTTGTACATACCATTTCCAACCCATTCTTGCATAAGTCCGACTAATACGCAGATGGTTAATCGGTGCATATCGCCTCTCGATGAGAAGAAGGAGCTCCAATCCGTGGTATTGGTGATCTCGGCTGTGATCGTGCTGCATATCAAACGGTACTCATACTGAACCAGCTCGTCGTCTGTGTCTCCATTCGCATGGTACTTCCCCAAAATACTCAGAGCTTCGTCTTTCCTGCCTTTGGACACAAGCCATCTCGGGCTTTCGGGCACAAACATGATCAATCCTAGGATCGAAAACAACGGGAACGATATTTGCAGCAGACAAGGAAGTCTCCACGACCAACTATTTGCTATTCCTATGGTTGCATACGTAACCGCCGCCGCACTAATAACGCCAAAACTCCAGGATGCATTGTACAGGGCCGTGGCCGTCTGTCGCTGCCGTGGGTGTGCGATTTCAGTGGCCAGGAGTGGGGATGCAGTCTGGGCGATGCCCATCCCTATACCGGACAAGACTCTGGTGCCAAAAAAGGCCCAGTGGCTTTTGACTGCGGTTTGGATGATAGCTCCCACGATCACAATGCTGGCCCCAATGAAAATACACGTCTTTCGTCCGAATGCATCAGCAATATAAGAGGCCGGTGCGAAGGAGACTAACGCCCCAAGTGAAGTGGCAGCAATTATCAAACCAACTATATTGGGGTCTAGTCCGCCAATGATAGCACCAACTATGTCATTATTAGCATAAATATCACAATATCGGGATGGAGACTTTACACTCAGGTAGAACAAACAAGCTGTTCACAAGACTTGCGGTGTACCCAGCCGAAGAAGCACTGGAGAACATGAACACAATAGCCAAATTCAATTTACGGAGCCCCCTATCTTTGATCCAATTAGGATTTGTGTTGTTCGGTAGGAGCTTGAATATCTCCATAGGGGGCTCCTTCTCCAATGTATCTGCCTTTGTCGCCATGTTATATGCTCTAGCAAATATTGGGCTTCCTAGAAAAAGTGAAGTCGAACCGTATAGACTCAACTCAACCCCATGTTGCTATACCAGCTATCTTATATTGAAAGTATACAGCCTTGGAGAACAAGAGATCAACAGCATTCTTCTGACCCAATAAATTTCCAGCCTTCCCCGTAGTATCCTCGGGTAGTCAAGGATAACTCTGGCGACTGAAACGTAAATTTACGGAATGCAGGGAGGAATGTAGCAGGCAATGTACATATCCAGCATAAATGTCGTACTATCTCCAATCACCTCGTCACAGATCCAAAAAAGTATGATCTGCAGTCCAAAAGAACAAGTATATTGTGCATTATGATACCATCCTTCACAACGATGTGAGAAAAAGTTTATTCATCACACTCCCCAAGCAGCGAAGCATACCGATTACCAAGCCCACAGAAGCCCTCACACTGCCCACCAACATCCCGCCCCTTATGCAGAACCTCCTCCATGCCCCACGCAACACGTTCCGCGCCCACCCTCGCGCCTTCGAGATTCGGCGCCCCAGGCCCAAGCCGGAGAGATGCCAGGCGGCCTGTCATGAATAATGGGACGTCATCCCGCCACGATAGATCATTCGTTAGACATGGGAGTCCTGACTTGACCTCGATCGGGTATTTATCGTTCATTTCGCGGAGCAGCGGCATCTCGCGCACGTCCGCCCGTACTCCAGTTGCGAAATAGATGTAGTCTATCGCAGGGAGGTCGGGGATTGGTGGGTCGGTTGTTAAGGTCCAGGTCTTGGTTACTGGATTGTAGTCGTGGGTTTTTATTACTGTGCAAGGGTGGATGGAGGCGCGGTTTTTAGCTGCGTGCTGCTTTACAATCTTTGTGTAGCGTGGTGTAATGCTGCCGCCATTTCGGGCGGTTTGAAGCATCTCAAGGCGCTCTGAGAAATATATTAGTGTCAGTCTTTAGATTGGTTTAGGGCTTTTTTAACAAATACCTTCATCGGTATCAGCAGACCAGAAGGCTGCTTTCTCCCAGTTTTTGTACTTGCCCATCCATGACAGAGTAATGTCGAAGTGTTTAACTATTATTCAAATGAGACATTGTCCAAAATTCAACGATTACCGGGGATGTTATACATACCCTTCATGCCGGACCGCAACAAGAACCACACTTTCGTCACACCCTTGCGAACCGCCATGTCCACAATCTGTGCTGACGACAGCCCGCCTCCAACGACAACAACATTGGTTTCCTGTCGCCGCTGGATCTTGTTCTGTACATTGGGGCTGGGAAATGATTTGATCTCCGTACTGTGACAACATGCTGCAGCACCCTCTTGTTCCGTCGAGGGTTTCCACGGATAAATCTTCGATACACCTGCTCCGCCAGGGCCGATGGCCAGGACAACAGACCGACTATAAAACTTCTCTCCGGTAGATGTGGTGACAGTGAACAGCTTTGAGGTTGAACTATCGGAGAGATAATCATACGAGAGATCCGTGGCCTCACGCTGCAAGATTTTACCGGGCTCATCCAGAGCATACCGCTGGATAATCGACGAACAATAATCCGAAAAAAGGTCTGTGGAAGGCGAGAAGTAATCTTTCCGATCACGTTCGTCTATTTCAGCTCCAATTGTTCTGCTTACAAGGATCCCATGGTTAGAGCTTTGTTTCAACCACATTCGCACTGGACACCACTTACTGAGTTTGCCCACCCTGTCTTCTCTTCTTCTTCTTATGTTTACTCATCTCCTTCCCAACGCACCCAGAAATCTCCCAAAGATCTGCGTCCCGTCCACTCTCCTGTGTATAAGCCAGCATACCATCCCGATCTCCGGGATCAACATGGAAGAACATCGGGCTGCGGAGCTGTTTGATCTCCAGCGTGCGGAATGCATTGTGCCACCGCTGCATCCATTTATCCCCAGAGCCATCCAGCACAAGAGTTGAGATAGATGATGTCGAGGATGTTGACGACGTCGACGATGCGGAAGATAGTGATGGTACAGGAGACGCAGGGTCAGAGGTACGTCTCGGGTCTTCTTGACGAGGACATCGGCGTTCGCTATCCCATTTTGCGGCTCGTACGCCCTTAATCTTACCGTGTCGTCCTTGGACCAGATTCATCCGCCCGCTGTGCTTCTTTATCCAGTGATAGCGCTGGTGTTCTTCGTCTGTGAAGACTGCTGATGGTGTTTCTTCGCTTAGGCGTGCGGCGACGGCGAGGCCACATGGTCCTGCACCGATGATGATTACATCGCGGATCTCATCGTCTTCTGGTAATTCTTGGGATACCGACATGTTAGAAAGGCGAGGTAGGGCTAGAGTTATGGTGTATGAGAAAAATGTAGTGATTATAGTAGTACAACAAAATAGTAAATTTGCAGGAACGTACGATCATAGGAGAAATACTATTCTTTATAGCCTATATTCTACGGGCATACTATATTTCTACAATGTCCTCGTGAGCTGACTATCGAGGTACTTGTCCCCAAGGTCCTTGAGGGATGACAACATATAGTGACAGCTTCATACTCCACAATTAACATCACGGATTTGATCACATTGGAGTCAATCTTTGAGGACCTTAGGGATGACTTGAATCATTTTGGCCTTTATACTTAAGCCTTTCCAATGTAATGTAGTGTTGGACATACATACACAAGCCATATCTAGCAATGTGAATATAAGCATCAATGGCCATGGATTCCATCCAGAGAAAAAATGCACCAAATCCGATACAAATCCTTAATGTTGCTGATTTCGCTTGGCCTCTTGTTCGAACCTCCACCCAATTAAGCCACATTAGACATGGTACGGCAAGCATTAACAGCTCTATAACGGCCACTGTGTACATCCATAAGAGCCCTGGAGCGGAGATGAAACAAGGTAAGAAATTGAATTCAATTGAAACCCTGGGACCTTCCAATATATATTCATGACGGATCCATGAAGCCCAATTTGATTGGTCAATATGAGACAAGACGAGAAGAAGAAAAGAAATTAAATTACTATGAAAGGAAAGATTTGCAGGGGGGAATAACAGGCACCAAAAACCACCAAAAAAGAAAAGCAACAAGAGAAACGAAACAAAATATACTTAAATCCCAAACATCCATCATAAAAGCCAAACTTGTGCCTACAGAAAATAGAGTCATTTATGCCATTTCTTTGTCTTCGCGCCAGCCTTCGTGCCAGCCTTCCGCCTAGACGCACCCCCTTCTCTCCGATGCCAAGGATCCGAAGGCCAAACCCAGCCTCTCACTCTTTTAGCATCCCTTTTCTCTCCAACCTGCGGCTCAGGAATCCACTTATCCTTCGGCTCCTCCAAAATCCTCTGACGAGTCATCGCACCAGGTCCGCCAACGTTGAGATGAGCAGAAGGCTGATGCGGAAGCGGCACCGACTTTGAAAGCATCAACAAAAAGTACAAGCCTAGACCCGCCGTCATAGCCGGTAACGCATCCTCAACCGGGTCCGGGTCCGAGGAGTCATGATGCGAGGGGAATGACGACGAGAAAGAGCGCGCGCTGATGGGTGTTGTGAGAGGTGCATCGCGCGCGTGTGCACGCCCGCTCCTTGTAGCTGCTGTCTTGAGGGGGATTGATGCCGCGATCTCTAGGTACCCAAAGTAGGGGATGTCGTCGCCGGTGTCACAGCCTGCTCGAACGCAGACGAGCTCGATCTCGGTGATTATAAAACCGTAGCGGCAGGAGTGCTCGCGCATGCACCGCTGCAGGTGGGCGAGTCCGTTCAGGTACTTTACGCGCCTGTGGGGGGCTTCGTTGCGCATGCCGGTGTTCCAGCGGTCGAAGCTTTTCACGATGCCAACTAGTCGGCCGCGCGGGAGACCGGCGCTTGTTTGCTCAGTGTCTGAGGCATAGTTTGCTAGGAAGTGCGGATGGCCGTGGTTTTTTTGGCCTGTGTTGCGCACGTCTGGGGCAGCGTAGAGTTGGAGGTGGTCTTCGCCTTGGGAGACGGCTAGGGCGGCGTTTACGGGCGGTGCGTAGAGGTCGCGGATTAGGCTCACTAGGTCGTGTTCTGATTCTGGCGCTAGGCTTGCCGGGGATACCGCCACGTGCGGTGTGAGCTCTGCTGGGATTTCGGTCTTCAGGAGCTGAATTAGTCGGCTATCCAGGGAGTCGAATGCCGCCAGTGAGAAGGAGCTCCAGCTGCGCAGGTTACGGATGTCCCACCAGAAGTAATCGTGTAGACCGCGAGTAGGAATTACGCTAACGTTGCGGACTAGATTGATTGGTTGGATTGGTAAGGTCAGGTATGACAGTAGAGTAGTGGACCTTGGGGTTAGGTTCTCCTGGGGACTGAGCGAGACCGGTGAATGCTGAGCAGCCGATGCGTGGCGGTAGTTATATTGAGGTGTCGGCACTGTCAGTGGAGTTGCAGGAGCATTCTGCACCCCCAGTCTTTGAGAATATGATGGATAGGGCATGATGTTTGGGGTAATTGGCGTAACTGGGGTGGTCGGGGTCGTCTGGGCCTGCATTTGAGGCGCATATTTTGGCAGCTCCCGGTAGGTGGGATACCCAAATCGGGTCAAAGTGGCGGCATCGATGACAGATGCCGATACTGAGCGTGAGTGGCTCCCGCCTGCCTTGCGCTTGTACGAAGGGGTGATAGTCACGGGCGATGACAAGGCAGGGAAGCAGCCCTGCGTAGTCATTGGGGCCGGCGAGATGGGAGAGGCCAATGTCAAGCGGTCCGCGACATCTTGTGTGCGGTTGACAGATGGCCGCACCAGTGGGTAAGGGATGAATCCAGGAGGCGGGTTCCGTGTATTAGAGAGAACGCGACGGTTACGAAGAGGCCCGCCAGCAGACACTGGCTCAATCACGACGTCTTGAGGCCTGATCTTTGGCAATAGCTTCGGGCCATGATAATGTCTAGTTGGCGAGGTGGTAGGACTGGTATTTCCAGTCATAGTCGACCAGGGAGAAGACTCGCTTGAATAGACGGAAGAGTTGGAGACATGACGACTATGTCCAGAGCCGATGTACTCCTCAAGAGAAAGACGCGGCGGCGTCGTTAGCCGAAAGCGAGCGGAATCGACAGCAGACATGATAGTGAAGTTGTTGACTAGGTATATCACCGAAACAATATATCATAAGAGTAACAAACGAATAAGGATCTGATGTCTGACCAAGTCGTTCACAGAGACATGATTCAGAAGGAGGATGTCTGGATGTTAAATGAACATCGACAGAGTCTCAAACAGCCAAGCATGGTGTATATAAAAAGATTGACGGACGAACCCTAGTCGATCTAGAAAAGATGAAACATGGAGAAGAGCCCCATTGTAACGCCTTGAGAATCTTTTTTTGGGATCCTAGTCTCCGATCAGAGGCATACCCACTCGATGAAACACGAAACTGCCGACATTGTGCCTGAAGACAGGCATGTTGAGCAACAAGCCCTTGAAACTACCCCTCGAAGGGGGTCTAGTCCGGCATAGTGCGGTTTCATCGGACTGTCGCGCGTTAAGATGTTACTATATTTTGCATTTTCTCCAACATCGTTCTTCAGATTGCCTCAAATGGTTAGCCTGCTGCAAGATTCTCGAGGCGTTCTAAAAACGGCAACAATTAGGTCACATTGCAGGGTAATTAGCAGACTTGTTGGTGACTTTTTCTGCTTCAGGACTCGCGGGGTCAGCGGTTAAGGGTTCCAAGAAATCAAACGGATAAAAATAGCCATCGGGGTTATGAAATGTGTGGTTCCAGGGTCTGAGCAGGGTAAAAAGACCCTTTGAAGGGAGAGTAGCTGCTCTAGATGCACCAGTGGCCGAATGTGATATCGACGTCGGCGGCTACATGTGTGGTGATGAGTTTGATGTACGCGCCGGGCACCTGGCGTCATATCCAGTGATTGGATAGTTTGATCCTTGAAACTAAGCAATGTCCCATAATTAGCAACGATTAATGCAGTTGATGAGGAGTTCATGCAGGAGACACCTAGAAAGAGGTTGAGATCAAATCGAGGTGGTTAAATCGGGGTGGTCAACCCATAACCGTGCATTGACCCCCGGTGTTTCACTGCTGTTAGTGCACATTGTGTGTAGTTAATATCGACCTTTTAGTACCGAGTTATTTTAGAATTGTATCTCATTAATTTGTCTTTTAATTATTTCATGACATTCATTTCATGTGGGTCGAAATGACCTAACCGAAAGAGTAAAAAAGGAAAACGAAAAAAGGTCTTCTATGCACCTTGACGAAACACTCAAAACGCTCGGGGGAATCTCTTTGAACCGTCTAAACAACACATTGAACGGTAAAGGCAATCGCAGAACATCAAAGAAACTTTAAGCCTTGATCTCGTACTTGCGGCGGAACATGTCATCCACCTCAGTCAAGTAGTAGACATCGGATCCAATAGTCTCGATGTTACCAGTGGGCTTAAAGTTCTTCTTAAGGTGGGCGTGCTCGCGGAGCTTGCACATGGCATCATATGCAGCAGGCTCGAGGATAGTGCGGGCATTGAGGCGGTTCTGGAGGTCAAGCTTCTCAACCATGTTGGACACATCGCCGACAATCTTGGCGCTGAACAGGGAGCTGGCAAGTCCGGAACCGTAGCTGAACAGACCGATGCGCTTGGGCTCCTTAGGGTCGAAAGCGACGTTGCTGAGCAGACTGGCCAAGCCGCCGTAAACGGTGGCAGTGTACATGTTACCGCACTGGGTGGCGACCTGGAGACCGGGGTTGACACGCTCGGCGAAACGCTTCTTGGTCAGACCCATGAAGGTCTTCTCGACGACCTTATCGGTAAGAGACTTCTCGTAATCCAGGTCGCGGAGCTCGGGGGCAACCTCGGCGAAAGCGGGGTGAGAGGGGTTGGCCAGGAAGTCGTTGTAGAGCATACGAGCGTAGGACTTCTGGACGAGCTTGCAGGTAGGGGCGTGGAACAGAATATAGTCGAAACGATCCAGAGGGGTCAGGGACTCGTCGATGGCACCGTTAGCACCATTGGCACCGTTGGCCTGGGCCTTCAGGGTCTTCTCACGGGCGTCGTAGGCCTTGTAGCAGGCATCGACAGCCTCGGTGTAGCACCGAAGGGAGTAGTGACCATCGACAACGGGGTATTCGCTGGTGAGGTCGGGCTTGTAGAAATCGTAGGCGTGGGTGAGGTAGGAGGCACGGAGACCGGGCTCGAAGACGATAGGGGCATCGGGGCCGATGACCATAGCAACGCAGCCAGCTCCACCAGTGGGACGGGCAGCACCAGCGGCATACAGAGCAATATCACCGCAAACCACGATGGCATCACGGCCATCCCAGGCGGAGGAC